GCTGCAATTAGATAAATTCTAGATCTAGATTCTGCTGACAGCTGTGGGAGTGGGGAGACATATCCTTTATAAGTATTCATGTAAATAAATGCTGTGTTTTTGTGTCCCTTCCATCTTCCTGTTGAAAACCCTTCTCCCACATACATGGCCATGATGGTTTGTGTTGTCATGCGCTGCTGGAATGTTGGCAAGCACGTGGTGGCACGAGGCAGTGCTCTGCTGCCCAGAGCTCATCCCCGAGCACACAGCCATGCTGTCACAGGAGCAGACCTTTCGGCACTTCTCTGACAACTTCTTTGCTGCTTACTTGTCACACTTCCTGAGCAGGTGACTGGAATTTATCAGGGCCTTTCACTACACCTCTTCTGTGATTATAAAAAGTCAAATTATTGTTATTACAGCAGTAGATACTGGGCAGAATCAGCAGCTGCTGACCAGAGAGCAGGCATTCATGAAACCGGAAAGACAAGACGGTACTCAGCCACGTAAGTGCACCGCCTGGCCACAGAGATCTGCCTTACAAATAAGTTTAGGACAGAAGGAGAGTGATTGCACAATGTTTGTGAACTGGAAGCTTGAGTATCATCCATGTTTAGGCCACGATGGAATGAACGCTGCAGAAAACCCCATTGGCTCCCCCCGCCACCAGATCTGGTCAGCATTGCTCACACATTGTTTGTCCAGAAATTGTCACTTTCCTGGCGCAGTGCAGGAACAATCGTGCTGCTTGGTTACAATGTTCTGAACAGGATCTTTGGCAGAGGCTCACTTTTAACTGATGCCATCTGAAGGATTTTTTCCTCTGACAGGAAGACAAATCCTGCGTCTGCAAAAGCTCGACCCTTTCTCAGCTTTAACTCATTATTAGTTTTAAGCAGTCATGGAACTGTCATGGCCAAATATTCCCTGCTCAAACCACTCTACATCTATACCCAGCCATTTTCAAGAATCTAAGTGACAGCTCCACAGCTCAGGTTCCTTCTCAGTGATGTAGCTCAGCTGATGCTGGCTCCCCTTCCCACAAAGCTTGGTGCTCCAGGAGACCACGGCGGGAAGCGTCAAACAGCTATTGTGCTTTCCCTGTCCTTTGGGCTGGCTCTGTTCATCCTGGGGGCATATGGAAACCCCAGGCCTTAAATGCAGAGGGTGAGAGCTGCTCAGATTTATAACATGTAACAAATACTTGAAATTCAGAAACAGTAACAATAGGTGGATGCAGTAAAGCTTGATGCTAAACACCAACGGACTAATTCTACACTTGGTGTCTGCTGTAGACAGCATTATACACTTGCTCATTACACACTTATTTAAGGAGGCACAGCCCAGCTCACCATACATCCTTCACAGTGGCTGGTGCTGCAACACCATGACAAACTGCACCTCCTCTCCACGTTGTTCCATTCCATTTCAGCTAATTGCAACACGTCTGGAGCTCTCAGCCCTCCCTTCCCCCATATGCCTCAAGTCTGTGTACGGCAGCGTTCTGTGCTAATAAGGAACTGGGGCTCACAGAGAGGCAGGAGCTGCCAGCATTCAGCTCTGAGGTGCTCCCAAGGCAGCTTCAGCACTGTGCTGCTGACTGCACACGCTGCTTCCATGCCCATCTGCAGTTCTTCACCTCGTAGCCTCTTCTTCACCTGCAAGGTTTAACAAGGCCAAGTGTCGGGTTCTGCACTTTCGCCACAACAACCCCATGCAGCATTACAGGCTTGGGGATGAGTGGTTGGATGACTGTGAAGAGGAAAGGGACCTGGGGGTGGTGGTTGATGCTCAGCTGAACATGAGCCAACAGTGTGCCCAGGAGGCCAAGAGGGCCAAGGGCATCCTGGCCTGCATTAGAAACAGTGTGGCCAGCAGGAGCAGGGAGGTGATCATCCCCCTGTGCTCAGCACTGGTGAGGCCGCAGCTCGAGTACTGTGTTCAGTTTTGGGCCCCTCACTACAAGAAAGACATTGAGGCCCTGGAACGTGTCCAGAGAAGGGCAACGAAACTGGTGAGGGGTCTGGAGCACAAAGATGAGGAGCAGCTGAGGGAGCTGGGATTGTTCAGCGTGAGGAGGCTCAGGGGAGACCTCATTGCACTGTACAACTTCCTGAAGGGACGTTGTGGTGCAAAAGGGTCTGGCCTCTTCTCCCAGGCAAATAGTAGGACCCGAGGAAATGGCCAGAAGTTATACCAGAGGAGGTTTAGGTTGGATATTAGGAGAAACTTTTTCTCTCAAAGGGTGGTCAGGCACTGGAATGGCTGCCCAGGGAGGTGGTGGAGTCTCCATCCCTGGTAGTGTTCAAGAGGCGTCTGGTTGAGGAGCTACGAGAGATGGTTTAGTGCTTGTGGTACTAATAGGAATGGGAGGGTGGTTGGACTAGATGATCTTGCAGGTCGTTTCCAACCTTGTGATTCTGTGTGATTCTGTGTCTGCAGGAAGCCTGCAGCACGTGCCTTCCCTTTCAGGGAGTTTTCTGACAGGACAAGAGCTGAGGCAGCACCTGCATGCTGCAGCTGCACTAAAGCCAGCCCCAGCAACACAGGAGAGTTAAGCACCAGTGCAAAGACTTGGGATCCTCCTTTTTTAATCCTCATATAAAATGGGTAAACAACTTTGTTAATGCCTCCTTCGTGTGCTGAGCACTTCCAGGCCTGCTGGCCCCATCACTTGGTGAGCCACAGGAGATGGGGGCTGTGCCCAGCAGGCAGCATCCAGCACCTGAGGTCAGCAGAGCCAGTGCCCTTCAGGGGAACACTGATGGCTGCTGCTCCTAGCAGGTGAATTTGGAGAAGGCTTCGATGTAGTTCCTGCGATTGAAGCTCGAGCCCCTTGAGCTCTGATGGGTCAGCTTGCCTGCAGAAAAGGGGCAGCTGTTTGGCAGAGGTTGCTTTTGCTTTCCACAAGACATTCAGAAAGGCACTTAAAAACACAAAGGTGCCACACAACAGGCCTGGAGGCCTTTCATGGGTAGTTAAAGGATTTGAAAGGAAGCAACAATAGAAAAAAAGCAACGTGGCAAATGGGAATTCGGCAGAAGTAGCAGCAGGACAAGATCTGGTAAGGGCAAAATTTACTCAGAGCAGTCAAAATGCAGCTGGATGCAAAGCGCATCAGGAAAACTATATTTTAAAAATGAAACGGTGTCAAAATGCAGGTAAAATTATGCCTGTGGAGAAGACAAATTTGTTACCATCACACCAGCCAGCACCCAGCAGCTCCTTTCCTTGGTTCCTAAAACCAATCCCTCTGACTGCTGCAGAGGGCTCAGGACTCTGAACTAATTCTCGTCCCAATAAGATGTTTGAAAAGCATGCCTTCCAGCTTTGAAACTTCAGCTTTATAGAGAATCCATTATAAATCTAGCTAAGCTGTTTCCACAGTTAATGACCTAATGATAAACGTGCAGAAATACCTGCTTGCAGTCTGAACTGCTCTTGCTTTTAACTTCAGCTTCATCCTCCAGATCAAAAAGCCCTTTGACAAAGTTTCTATTCCCCGTGCAACAACTTCTGCGCTGCAATTTTGTAACCTTTTCTTCGATAAACTACACTGAGCTCAACTGTCTCACCATAAATAATGTTTTCCAAGCTTTTAATCATTTACGTGTTTTTAAAAGCCAGAGGCACAGCCGTAGCATTCATTCCCTGAAGCAGCAGTGCCAAAAGCAGGCAAGAGCTCCCACTGCTGCAGGAGAGGAACGCACTCAACCTTCACCCCGCCGTCACGCTCTGCCACCTCCTTGCTGTGATGCACTGCACGCCGCTCAGGACGCGGCCTGGCGTTTCCCAGCACCAACAGCTCCGGCGGCCCGGTGCCAGCAGCTCCCCTCAGCCAGCAGCCCGCTTTGCTGGGGAGCTCCGCCTCCTTCCAGGCGGCTCCGAACAGCTCAGCTCACAAACTGCTCCTTGAGGGAAATCTGCAACGCGCTCACCGAGCAGCTCTGCCCTTCCACTCTTAAATCAAATCCTTCCCTTTTTATTTTGACCTCGTGGTTTTTGTTTTAATTCCATTAAACCATGCAATATGCCTTGCACTATCAATTCAACCAGAAGCCCAAGCAGTTCAGCTAATCTCAAATATAAAAATATCAAGTTAAACTGATAGGTCTATTTTCCATGAATTTAGGTTGACTTACCCACTGTAAGACCTGTAAGACACTATGGCCTGTTACCTTTAGCAATACACCTAAATAGAACTACCCAGATCTTTCCTACTAAATACTCCTTGGCACATTTTTATCTTTTTGCTATATTCTCATTAAAATGAATAAACAGAAACCAGACAACCAAACCAGCTAGAACAAAATGAGGGACAAACACGGAATATTCAAGAGCCACTTAGGCAACAGCGAGCTTTGGGCTCCCCTGTGCTGCACACAAGGTAGGCCAGATAATTCACTGTGTAAGACAAAGCAATCAATGGAATAACATCCTGAAGAGGGAAAAAAAACTCCTGGGGAGGTTTTGCTGCAGCTCTGCTAAAACAGCATTTGAGGAACATGTCCTGCTGCAGCTGGGAGCAACCAGGCCAAGCCCACCAGAGGAGCAGAGGGAGCCCCAGCAGCATGCTCCATTCCCAATAGCTATGCAGTTCCTTGGCCTTCATTTTTAAAGAGGTGGACTGTAATTCTAAGTGTAAGAGACTTCTAAACAAACTTCTGAGGAGCACAGTGATTTCATGGGAAAGGAAAAAACAACACAACCTACAGGAGGTTCTCATAAACAGAACATTATACGGCTTCTCTTTTGCTGCAGTTCAGAAAGGTGAATTGCTCTGCTGCAACATTTGGATTGGGAACAAGCGTCAAACCATTAAAGGATGTAAGACCCTGGAACACAAATTCCTTTCTGATAACAGATCCTGAAACCACCTCTGCAGCTGGAAGAGCTGGAAAGCTTCATGCCTCATGTTGCAGAGGCACACCCGCCTCTGTGCTGCTGGAGGCTGGCTGCAAGGCAAAGGATCCTCCCATATTTCTTCCAAGATAAAAACAGCATTATGCACAAATCCCAGATGGATTTCTTTTCCCTTTTTATTTAGGAAGGAGAGGCAGGATTATTTGTGGGTTGCCCCCCATCTGGTACAGATTCACAGGCAGTAAGAATGAGTTTTGTTTCCAATACACACATTGGATCAAAAGCCCAGGGAGAAAAAACTCCATCTCAAGAAGCCGCATCAGTTCCCGTTTCTGGCGTTGCCACACACAGCACAAAAGCACCCGAACAAACAAGGATCCAAGGCATACATTGTTTCACAGAATATACATGTTAAAAGGACAAGTAGAAATATTACAAAATCAACAGGATCGCTTTTAAAATATTTATATTTGTTGAACCGTTAAAAACAGACACAGAAAGAGGTAGCAAAGCTAACAACTTCCTGCTGCTCCAATTAGTGTTGCCTGCATGCACTGAGAAAGTTACTGTGGAATTGAATCTCTCAAAATCTCTTCTGGACAGGATTACAGATAATTTGCAGTTTATTTCTGACAATGCTGTGTGAAGTACTGAGGCAAATCCACAGGCTCACTAGCAGCTGTTTCACGTTGTCTGGCTTAACAAAAAGGCATTGAAAGGAAAAGGTTATCTGTGTTTTACTTTAGCGAGCAAGAGAGAGAGAGTGCAAGCACGCACGCACCAGGGAGACCACACACAGATGTAACAGTAACAGGATGCTTCACTTGCTCTGCCACAGCAAAACTCAAGTATGACAGATCCCTGGGTGGCAGAATTAAGACAGTTTGATACGACCTTGGTCCCATGGATATGAACATCACTCAACACGGCTAAAAGCAAGGCATCAAAGGTGAAGGGAACCGGGATTCCATGTGCTGCGTGCATGCACTCTCTCTCATACCTGCTTCTTCAGGCTTTCTGAGGTCCTATCAAGGTCAATTCAAGATGATCTCCCATCCAATATGTAATAGCGATACATTAAGCCTATGACTAGTGCTCCGAAGATGGGGATTAGCCACGTTGACCAGAAGCTACGGGGAGGAAAAAACAAGAACAAAGAACACACACCCAAACACACACAAAAAAAGAAGGAAGTATGAAGTTAATGACACAATCAATACATTCACTACTTGCTACGTCTGTTTTCACCCATCGCCCACCAGCTCACAGACCGACTTCTCAGGACAGAGGACAGAACAGCTCCAGCTGTCCCATGCTCAGGGCTCCCCTGCCCCTGTGAGAGGCCCCTGTGACTGCAGGGATGGCTTGGTTGCTTATAAAACAACAGCTGGGTTGCTGAACGTTCCAGCCTGGCACACACAGAAACCAATTTGAGTTTTTTGTTGTTTTCTTTTCTTAAATAAGCCAGACTGTCAATTTGGGCTATACAAACAGCTGAGTTGACTCAAGGATGGAAATTACTACAGCTACCCCACAATAAATCATCCTTACTCATAAACCTGAGACCACAGGCATAAGCTCACTTTCAGCAGCTTCCTTAAAAAAAAAAATCCTAATAGAAAAGACTGAATTTGCGTTCTGGTTGCAAGCACTCCTGAATTCTCAACTAAATTGCACTGGTCGCCATAAAGATCCTTCAAAAAAAGGACACTGCAGTGAGTACCCACAAGAGGAGTGCAACCACGCTTGTGCAGCGTCAACACATGGACAGAGAATTGAAACTAAAACATCCCAGGCTGCCTGCTGTGCTCAGTGTGAGCTGATGTCTCACCACTGGCTGCAGCTCCATCTCCAACAAGAGAGGTGCACAGCGAATCCACTGTGATGCAGTTTGGCAGCTTGTTGTGGAGTTCCTGCTTGTTGGAAGGACAGTACAGTAACATCCCACTGATTGCTTTCCTGCCTGCTAGAGCTAATCTGCAGTTCTACAAATGGAGAGTCCCATTCTCCCAATTTCTTACTCTTAAGAAGATACTATACCTTGCTTGTCCTGAGGATGTCCTGTTTTGATCCTGAAAGAAGGAAGAGGGAGTTAGCAGGGAAAAAAAAATACCCTAAGTCACACTAACAAGACTGAAGATTGGACATGAATTGCAAACGCAGAGGAAAAATAACCCTCCTCTTCCTTTTCTAAACATTCTGTCTCTCAGAAGTGTAGATGCTTCTGGGGATGTTTGCCCTCCTCCCCACCTCCACATTCTATTAGTCTAAACCTTCCCACCCAGCTCTCAATTTTATACTGGAACTATCAAAAAAAAAAAAAAAAAAAAGGCCTTGAAACCACTCTGATCGTTTTATGTGACACAGAGAGATGATCATCGATACATAGCATGGTTTGGGTTGGAAGGGACCTTTAGGGTCACCTAATTCCAAGTCCCCTGCTATAGGCAGGGACACCTCCCTCACAGCCCCATCCAGCCTGGCCTTGAATGCTTCCAAGACCAAGCATACACAACTTCACTGAGCGACCTGTTCCAGTGTCTCAGCACTCTCACAGTTAATAATTTCTTCCCAATATCTAGTCTAAATATACTTTCTTCCAGTTTAAAACCATTTCCCCTCATCCTGTCACTACCTGCCCTGATAAAAAGTTCCCCCCAGTTTTCCTATAGGTCCCTTCAGGTACTGGAAAGCCACTATAAGGTCTTCTTGGAGCCTTTTCTTTACTGGGCTGAAGAGCCCCAGCTCTCTCAGCCTGTCCTCATAGAGGAGGTGCTCCAGCCCCCTGATCATCTTCATGGCCCTCCTCTGGACCTGCTCCAACAGCTCCATGTCCTTCTTGTGCTGGGGGCTCCAGAACTGGACGCAGTGCTCCAGGGGTCTCATGAGAGCTGAGCAGAGGGGTGGAATCACCTCCCTCAACCTGCTGCTCACACTTCTCTTGATGCAACCCAGGATATGGTTGGCCTTCTGGGCTGCAAGTGCACATTGCCAGCAATACAGAAAATCATCTCACCATGATCCCTTTCCCAAACTTCTGTCTGCATCCCTACCTGCTATCGTACTGCTTGGCCACTGACGCATACAGCTGCAAAGTTCTCTTCGTACCTTCCTTCGTATGCAACCTGTCTCCATATTATTCATACTATTTTCAAAAAAATCTGAGAATTAAGTACTTCTTCCAGTCAGCTGAAAATTACTTTATCAATTCTACAACCTCTCAGTGGCTGTTGCTGTTCTCCTGTATCTAGCAGCCAAAAATCACCTTACTGTCCATTCTGAACAGTATCACCTCCACTTCTTGAGAATCACAGTGCTTTCTTTTCTGCCACAACACCCCATCAGTGGACGCTAAACGTTAACATTTAACTGTGGGGAGTTACCTCTGACCCGAGTCACAAGAGTATGCAGTCACTATTTTTTTCCTGGTAAAAAATAAATAGGTGGGATCCACATTACTTCCATCTGTTCAAATTATACTTGGATCCACTTTTAAAGCAGATGTTGCACACTACAGAAAGACCCACTGGACTTTGTTTAGAATAGAAAAATATCTGCAAAAATATTTAACTCATATCCAGCAGCACTGCTCAGATTAATTTCTATGCACATGTTAAGCACATTGTTCTGTTAATGAAAGAGTTGAACCAAACAAAGTAACGTTAAGGTGAATGCATAATCACGCAGCCCGCTTTATAACTAAGAGTCGGCTTTGCCTAGCCTGAATCACTCTTCCTATGGCTGGCTGTAATAACCAACTTCTCCCAAGGGCTTCAGTTGCTGCTCTCTGTTGATATTATTGATTCCTGGTACTCCGCAAGCGGCCCTGCTTCGAACAACACCCAATGAAAGCGTTGTTGAAAACAGAGCTGTGCCTGCTCCAAGCTTTCAAGCCAAGCAAGAAGAGAAGCCAGCTGCAGGACACGTTTACCTTCCAGACGGCATTCTATTTGTTACCATTTCCCTCTCCCTATCCCTTTTGAAGGCATTTTTGCAACACTGTCTCCCATCCTAATCCAGGAGTACCTAAGTTTTAACCAACACCTATGATTTCTTGGGCAGTTAACAGAGAATTCTTGTTTTGCAGCCAATCCCGTGGTGGCTGTGCCTGCCTCCTGCCTTGAATGTAACACTAACAGTTCAGTCATCAGGACACAGCCAGTTCTGCAAAAATATAGTCTGTGGCTCAAGGTGTAGAAATAGCTTTGCTGATGTCAGAGGAGAGAAGGCACAAAAAAAACCACTCCCATTTTCACACTGAAGTGCTTGCTGAGCTTCTGAACAAAAAGAAAGGAATCATTTGCTTAGGAGATTTATTCATTTCTGTAGCTGTAAGCATAAAGCACAAACTCCACAGAGAGGAAAAAGACAAAAAGAGAGCAAAATAAAAGGTGTGTGGTGACTTCTTTGTTCATTTTGTAAGCGTAATATAGTTTCCTCAGCATTAAATAAAATGGAACAGTAAAACACCAGTGCTTACCTTGGAGCCTCCCTTTTTACGGTCATCCTGTCATAGAAAAAAAAAAAAAAAAAGAAGGAAAAAAGTGATAAGCAACAACTTCAAGAGAACCTGCAGTCATTACAGTCATGATGAGGGAATTGCTCTGTACACAGTCCACATCATAGCAGCAATTGCCTGGACTCCAGTTGTCAAAGCACACGTATCTACAGCGCCCAAAGGCACCGTCTTTGTAGCAGGCAGGAAGCTGGTGTTTGTGTCACGCCCGTCATCTCTCATCCTCCTGAATCCTAAACTACAGTTAGATAGCACTATCAGCTAAGGAGCTACTGATACGGTTAGCTCCTTTAAGTGCCACCAACTTAACTGAAGGGAGAAACCTGCTCTGAACAGTGGGAAAAGACGACTAATTTGGTTTTATTTTCAGCAGCGATCCCCCTTCCTCAGCAGAAATCCTGGGTGACGCTGTATGAAAACTTAACTTCTTACTGTGCAAGACTCATCTTGGTGCACATTCACTGGGTTACATAAAGGAAAGGCACACTTCTACAGCATCCTACCCTGTGTTTGAAAGAGGGCTGGTCCTTACCGGGTGGATCTCCCCTATGTAGTACTGCTTGAGCATCTCCCTGGCATCTGTGGAATGACCGACATCTTCAAAGCTCTCCGTGGCATCTCTTCCAGCTTGTTCAAGCAAAACTTCTTCTCCACCTGGATGCTGGAAGAGAAGACTTAAGGTGAGCAAAAGCACGAGTGCAAAAGAGGTGTCCAGAGTCTCAGCAGCCTTTCTGGCCCTTTTCATTCCATATGAATGAAACCAACATCAGCGATATCTACCAAAGATTCAGTCATGCAGCCTCTCCTTCAGGAAGTCACGAAGAACAATGCATGCTGCACAGCTGGGAAATACCTTGCATAAAATAAAAATCTTTTCAAAGAGGCAAATCTCCAATGTACACAGAGAAGCACAGCTTATCCCCCTGCAGCAAAACCAACCCTTCTGCAATTCTGCAACTGGTTTAGGCAAGAAAATAATACAGAAGAAAGCATATCCTCATGTACCTTTTCATTGGCCTCACTGCACAAACCAGACTCCCTTGCAGAGGAGCCTCTGCTGCATTATTTTTTCTGAAGAACTTTCCAGAGACAGCTCAAGTCCCAGTGAAGCACAAGACAATGCTGCATTCACAAGCATCAGTGGAGGAAATGATGTTCTACTTCTTCAGATCTGACAAAAAAAACCCAACAGCCTCTGCATGTAGCTGTACAGTGAAAAGTGGAGAAGAACAAAGGGAAAGGGCAGTGACATAAGAAGCTGCAGCTCTAGCATAGCTGCACCAGTACTGATCCAGCATACAGCTACTCAGTACCAGGTGGAGAAAGAAAAGCATCGTTTAAGAAAATCTACCATTTGACATCACATACTGATTTCAGAAATTCAGGAGCTGCAACACCAGAAGCACCATATGCACAGGACACCCCCAGCAGCACTGGCATTGCTGGTGGTGGCAGACGGTCACAGCGAGACCAGCAGCACAGACTGAAAAATCCCTAGTGCAGTGCTATTTGCCTTGATGGGTTGGGCTCTCAACACTGTCAGTACCAGAATTCCAGGAACAGATTGGCAATAGAAAGCAGTAACTACAAGGCCAGCAGTGTACAATCTATTTACAGTGTGTATATGGGAAGAAATACTTCTGTTTAAACTACCAGCTAATCCAGTTAAACCAATAAAGTGATCAGACTGCTGAGTCCACACACAAGGACTAACCCAGTTTCGTTTCGCAGAGCGCTAGGCAACAGGCACCAAATGGCTGCATGAGAAGATGAGACTGGCTCAGCGCTCAGAAATTCCTCTAACAACTAGAAGCCTGGAACTGAACAATTTAGAGTAAATTTCACATCAAAGGACTCAAAGACCCGGTTTTCCTCTGTAATACCCTTTTCCTTCCCACAGACACAGAACAGTTGTTATTGCCCTTCTTTCTTCGGCTTGTTTGGTTTTTCTCCCAGAAGCCTAAATATTCTCACTTGGCTATCCCACCTCATACCAAACATACTCCGTGTGGACACAAAAACAGTACAGTTGTTTACTCCAGGGAGCTGCTGCAGCCAACTCTCCAATCCCCATATCAGAGCTCTTTATTCTGAATAAATCCCTTTATTGGGCAGGTACGTAACACAATCAACACAGAGCTCCCTCAGCAGTCACGAAGGGCAAAGTCTGCAGGCCTGGGAGGCAGCCGGGCAGCAATCAGCTATCAGCTCTCCTCAACTGTAAAACCAAGGAAGGCTCCGCTCTGCTGCTCCCCTTTGAGCCCAGCCACGTCCCACTGCCGTGCTCCTGCACCGAGGCTCACCTGATCTCAAAGGCAGCCAGGTCAGGGGCTGCCATAGCAGAAAACCAGCCCACCAAAAAAAGGAAAGGAAATGACTGTCTGCCGGTCGTTGTGAATGAACTCTCTACAGACCTGGGTGCATGAGAGTCGCCAGAAGCAGGGGCTGCAGCAGGAGCACTTCAGGTCACCACAGCACTCCTTAGCTCACCCTGCCAGACATGGTTGTAGTGTGGGATGCTGCATCTCGTTCTGCACCATGTGTGCAGCTGTCCAGTTTACAGAACACTCTTGTAAAGATCCATTTGCAAAGGAATGAGGGGATGAAGGGCCAACCATTAAGATCTCTACAAGAACCCTTTGGGGATATCTTGATAGAAACCTCATTTCAGAACTGAGATGAGTTTTTTTTAAATATTACCCTCCTTTCCTAGTCATCCATTCCAGATGAGCAAAACCCACAGTAAGACAGGACATGGAGTGGCTGCCTGCTTTCGGTGGGAACCAGTGCAAAAGAGAAGAATAGCAAAGCTTACTCCTCTTCACATGTTTGGTTCTGAAGCCTTCCTATGCACTTGCTAAGTCTCCAATAATTACTTGCTCATGCACATCTGTCCATCATTATCACCAAGCCAAAGGAAAAAAAAAAAAAAAAAAAAAAAAAAAAAAAAAAATCAAGAATTTTTGGCATATCTTATTTCTGACAGAACTCTCTAGTCTAGACACCCACAACTGCAGCCAGACAGCTCTTACCTTGTCATACCCAAGCACATATAAAACCAGACTATTTATACAAGTCATCTGCTCTGCCACAAAACTTCCCAAAGCTACAGCTCCTGCAGAAAAACACAGACACTTTGAGAAGCGTGGCAAACTCTGAAAACAAAATGTACTTTCAGAAGAAACAATGACAAAAATAAAGCTTTCCTCCTTGTGAAAATGAGCAGACAAAAACCAACGAGAATAAGAGATGGGCCCAAGTGCCAGCCCTCCAAATTCTTCCTTAGCAACAATAATGTAACCAGGACCTCCCTCTCTCTGGAGTCTCTCACATACATAATGCACTAAGTACCTGATGACAGCAGCAGAAACAGTCTTGAGGCACTGGTTCTGGCAGGACATACCCAGTGCCACCAAGCAGAGAAAACAGCTTTAAGAGGGAACCCTGCAGCCTGGGAGCAAAAGCAGCAGCCCCACGAGCACAAGGCATCCATAGCCCCACAGCACGGTGGCTGCCTGTGTCGCAGTCAGGAGGATAAGGTGGAATAAAACCCAGGATTTGCAGAGTATGCATAATGCTTGGAGCTACAGCAGATCTCAAACGAATCATTGCCACATGACCTCTGAATCAAGTTCTCCGAATCCAAGGCCGGTTCCCACAAGGCAGAGAATAGCAGCAGGACACTGAGTAACCCCATATGCAATCCAAACTGAAATACACACTGATGCTCTAAGGCAGCAGGTAAAATAAGACTCTCCCTCTAATTAGTATTTAGGAGCAGCTCACGTATTTCTCATGTTCTGTGCTCAGCCACAAGGTTTTATTGGTGAAAGCCAAGGAGATGCTCTCTCTGCAAAGCCTTTAGAAGGGATGTGTACACAGCAGTCAGAATGCCTGCACTGCTGACAGCACATGGCAAAGGCTTCAAAGAGTGCAACACAAAGTCGATGCAGAAGGTGAGAACCTGGAGCTGTCTCTCCACTAATGCCAAGTGCCTGTCCACGTGTGGCAGCCACCCTTACAGCCCTGGGGCAAACTACCAGCGAGTTCAGAAGCAACACCAAACAGTGGTCAATTAGGTTGCTGAATCAGATGAGACAAAATCATCACACTGAAGAGAGATGCAAAAGCTTTAATTTCCAGCCACCATTATTAGAGAAATATGCCATGAAAGGAAAGAGTATTTCTGTGCCATAGCAATGTGTCAGTACCGTGCAGGCCAAAAAACACCTACACAAATGGTGCTCGTCAGCCACACGCCCTTCACAACTTGTTCTAAGACACGAAGCAGGTTGGTTCCCCTAAGCCTGTCTCCATAGCACTAGAACAAGTCAGCATAAGGAAAAACAGATCCCTGACATTCCTCCTTCTCCCTCACAGTTTTGGTTTCAAACACATCTGAGTGTGCAGGAATTATGTGCAGAAAAACAAAGATATTCAGTATTGTTCTCTTACTACTAGCACACAGATTTTGAGCTGGCTAGTTAACAGCTGACCTGCTGCACCTAGGCTGCAGAAATCATGAAGCAATATTCAACAACCTTCTAGCAAGGAGGCTTCTTAGAGATAACAAATTGCTCCGAGGCAACGCTCCAGCAGAATTCAGCAATCTTGTTCAAATAATCTATGGCCAAAGGCCAGAAAAGGCAACAATTAGACACTGCTTCAGTGACTACACAAGATCAAGGGAAAATATTACCCACTGAAACTCTGATAGCTGCAGTTACAACAGCTTGGAGCTTTAAAGCAGAACAGTTTATCAGACAACTGTAACCTTTAAACAAGACAAACATTCCTGGTTCTGATCAGTTACACATTGTTCTCCTGTCACTGGACTGATTACAGTGGGATAACAGATAAAAAGTGTATTTTTACCAATAAATTAGGCTGTGATTTATGTTTACAAGCTTTAGATAGCAGAGAGCATTTGCTAGCCATGCTACTACACTTACAAGAGTAGCCTTACTCTTCTTCCTTCCCTAATCAAGTAAAGTTTTATGTCAGAAAAACACAAATGAGAGAAAGGGCTTGGGAAGGGCAGCACAAAAATTTCTTCTGTAGGAAACATCTAGGGCACTCCACCCAAATTGCTGGGGTAGAACAAAGGAATTTTCTGGGCTCATTTACACATACTGAAGGCGCTCCAGAGAGCAGAATCCAGGTGCCATCTTAGCAGAAAGAGCCAAGATGAAGACTGACCGCTGCACAGCACCCATGCTGCAAAAGCGTCACACACACACATGGGTCTGCAGGTAAATACCTTGGAAATTGTGATTCTGAAAAAAATTCTTCCAAGATTTATTTTTTTTTCCTATCTCTTAATTCTGAAAGCAATAAGCAACAACCGTAACCGTACACTGAGTCACACATAAGACAGGGCAGTGCTTCCTGCAAGTACCTCCCCAGCTTCCAGCTGGTTTTGGCTCTTCCTAAGCCCCAGGTGCTTTGTTATTTAGAAACAAACAGTGAATTGCTTTTCCACATTTTTGTCCTGTCTTCCCCCAAAGCTGCCTAAGCTTCTTGCATCCTTAATGTTCTTTGGCAAGAATGGTCTGCTCCCTGCTGTGTGAAGAAACATTGCTAGTTTTGAAACAGGCTCCAGCCAGCTTCCGGAATGCCCCCTGCTCCTTGTACTAAGCGTTTAGAGGCAGGCAAACATGAATGCTTTCAGAAACCCAGGTAATAACAAACGTTCAAAATCTGCCCTGCCACCCTGTCCACTTCATTTGGTTAGCAGAGCTGCTGAGCCCAGTGTTGTGCTCTGCTCTCAGGAACACGACAGGTGCCAGATGACAGGTTGGCCTAATACCAGGGAATACAAACATGAGGGGGGCCACGCGTAAAGGAGGCAGTCGCTGCCCAAACTGCTCACAGACCTTCATTCTGCTCATAGCTCCACTGTTCAGTGGCTTCCTGAGCTAGAGCTACACTTAGTAGGACTGTCGTCCCTTCCCACCCTGACAGCATGTATACTTTTGTGCATACACACAGCTAGGTGTACAACCAGTCCTGCATCTCAGATAGAGCTGTGGGCTCTCCTGTACAACAAGCGGCTGAGTGTCAGCTGATGATTTGCTGTGCCTCTGCCGTGCCCAGCACCCTGCAGCCACAATTCACCATCACACTGTCCTACATCTTTTCTTCCAGCCTTCCTATGGACTGGGTGCCTGGAGCCCCCACACATATTAAATGCCCAAGAACAGCGGTTGCTCATCAGGCTGCTTTTCAGATCCTCACCTGACAAAGACACCTGAAAACACTGCTTGAGTATTGACTGCATGCAGAGCTGAGCAAAGGAGCTAGAAGCCAGGCCTCATTCACAGCCCTGAAAGGAAAAACAGTAATTCCTGGTTTAAGAGCTGCAAGCAGTGAAAATCTAACTATAGCAAAGGCCATCTCAAGCCACCATGGTAAGAGACACTGAAATTCCTCATAGGTACACTGACACATCTTCGAAGTTCTCTTGAAGTAAGTGTCAGGAGGAAGACTCAAAGCACAAACAAGATTCAGATTGAAGCATTATGATGCTGGATTCTAAGAACAAAATAAATCACATGCAACTTTATATCCTCTCTATAAACACTGGAAAGCTACACAGAAAGCCACTGCTTCCAGCTGCCACATTATCAACCTCCTCCTATCTGGAAAACCTCTTACACCTCAGCAAAGGAATTTGTCGCTACATGTGATGAGTACATAGCGGACATGCTGTAATCATACACGCCTGGGGGAAAACAGAAGTTTAATTTACACAAGCAAAACCAGCAAGCAGGAACTTGAAGATTTGTAACAAAGTGCTCTCCTCCAGCCAGCTCAAACTAGCTCTCATTGTTACCCTACGGACACCACAGGGCTTGGCATTACTTTCAGCTGAGACAAAAAAGCTTCAGAAACGTTGATAGCATTTCATCGTGCTCTGATTTTAGCTCCAAACAGCAAGGACACAGCTTTCAACTTGCTTAGAAGCAATAGTTGAAGGCATCGAGTCCTGGACAGTTTTTGCCCCTGCAACCAGGGGAACTGGAGATGTCACAACGCACTGCGGCCCTTCCGAGCCGCTTTGTCACGGCCGAGGAGGCGCACGCCGGCCCGGTGCCGCACCGCTGGGCTCCGACCGCAGGCCGCGGCGCCTCCGTTACAGCGCGGGGCTCCCGGCTGGCCCGGCCTTCCTCTCCTTCCTCCTTCTCCTCTCCTTCTCCGGGCCGGTCTGGGGACACGAAGGGGCCCAGCGCACCCCGCACCTCCGACCCGACCCCCCGGCCCGGCCCTTCCCCTGGCCCGGCCCGCCGGACCCCGCCCCGCCTCACCTCCTCGAGGAAGCGGGTGACATCGTAGACGCGCCCGTGGATGACCAGCCAGGCCTCGCGGTTGGAGTTCCGCTTCCCCACCTCCTCCAACGTGAACACGGGCCCGGCCGCCTCCTCCGCGCAGTCCCTGGCCTCCGTCCGCTTCCCAGTCTCCATGCTGGCCACCGGCAGCTTCGCGGAACGCGCGGTTGGGCCCGCGGCGGCCACCGTAGCGACGTCGGGAGGAGCCGCCCCCCTCCGGCTCCGATGCTAACGGCTGGCTGCCGCGCTGCGCCGAGCGCACCGGCCAATGAGGAGCGATCGGCCCCGACGGTGGAGTGACTCCCGGCACCGGTCGCAACCAATGGGCGAGCGCCGCGCCGGGCGAGGGCCAATGGCGAACGGCCAGAGCGGGAGGGCGGGAAGGCGCAGAGTCTCACCTCGCTTAGCCTGACCCCGCCGCCCAGCTCTGAGGCACAGCGCCGCGGGGCGCTTTGGGTTCCAGAGCCTGGCAGAACGGCTGCTCCTTTTGTCAATAAAGCAAGCCTTAATCTCGTGCATCTTAACAACGAGCCAGTGCTGTAACATTCCCGGAGCGCTGCCTTGTTACCCATTCCTAAAGGTCCGCTCCCTCCCAGGCAGGGTTAGGGACAGACGGACAGTTTGTGAAGTCACTGCTTTTCACGTGTGAACTCACAGCTGTGCTTTGTTTGTTCTAATGCAACTGCTGAGGCAGCAGAAATGCCCTGTGTGGAAAGAAGTGCTGATACCATCGCTGACACTGGCTAAAGGTTAAAGGTCTATGCAGCGCTCTGCACACCTGCAGCTGGGGTTCCACTCCGATGAGGTACCACAGGGCACCGTGTGCCTCCGCCACACGGGAGGGCACAGCATTGCTCAGAGAGTGAAGTCTCACTAGTCTTGAAATCCTTAGCCTCTCTCTAGCTCTGTCAGTGTCTGAAGGGCACAGATCTCACAGCATCCTCTCCATCTACTTTCAGAGTAACACAGATTCTTTACCCATAACTGACAATATATACTTTATTTATATACTCTATATATACTCTATTTCAGCATGTTATACATTTCTTCAACCAGATTTTGTATGCATTGACATCTTTACCTGTTATGAAACTTCTTCACAATTACTTAATCAATAGCCATGCTCCAAAGTAGCTTATACCTTGAGTTTATTTTTCCTCTTTCAATCCTTTTTAGTGTAGCTCTTTTCAGTCCTTAAGGATGCATTTCTGGTTTTGCCTGTAATCCAAGCATCCTCTCTGGCAGAGAGGATATCAACATGACACGCAGCCTTTCAGTTTCCTTTCTGAGGAACATTTCTAAGGGGGAAGGTCTCCTTGCCCTCATCAGGTTATGTCCTATAAACTCATTTTAGGATTTTACCTTGCATCATTGTTGCCACAACATCCTTCTGCCTAGCCTTGGCAGTTGCAGCCCTGCCCCATTTCACATGGAAGGCTGTTGTAAAGGTTGTTCTACCCTCGCTTCAGCCAGGCTACCTATCTCTGCATTCATCTGCTGGGCCCATCCAGAGTGCAATACCATAACACGATAACATGATGGAAAGAATAGCAATAATAGCAGAGTGGCACAATCCCACACCACAGAAAACAAGAACAAGCCTAAATACAACAACTAGGGGGACAGAAACAAAGAAAGGAAAACCGCTTACCTTTAGAAGGCCTCTAGTAAGCAGGAGATTTCCAGCAAGAAAGCCTCACCTCCTCCTGCTAACCCTTAAATGAGATCTGGAAAGGGATGGATCCTGACTCCACTCCTTCCCATCACTCAGGTGCGTTGCTCGCACCTGAGCTCTGCTGGGTTGGCCCTGTCTGCCCACCAGATGTTCAATCACTGTTTCAGGCCAGGACTCAGCATTTCCACTACACATGGGTTGCATCAAAAACAATGTCCCTTTCCCTAGATCTGTTCAGCACATTGCTGCCTGTCTTAATTTTATTAGGAAGCATTTGCCTTTTGTCTCTAGTTGGTTTACAGCATCATTTTCTGCAACGTGATACATTTTCGAATAAGTGCCTTTGTACTTTTGTCTTTGCAGCTTGCGTGCTTGGAGGGTTTCTCCATATATTCTTCAAGACAACCTCATTACACTCCTCAGTATTTCCTGTTTCTATTCTGACAACAGTTTTGTTACTATTTTTCTGTACCTGTCCACTATCTTTCCATGACTACACGGCAGAGTATCTTTTCTGCATTTGTATACAGTACAGTGGGATCCTGGTCCAGGACAAGGCTTTCAGGGCACATTAGCAATACAAATTCTGATTGTGGTGTGTATTTATTTGAAGAGCGACAGGATTCAATTTCTGCTCCCCATGATTATTATCCAACAGAAGTCAGAAATCTACTGCGTGTCTGTTCAGGGCGCAGGCCCTTGGGGCAGATGCTGTCTTCTGCTTGGTGCAACACCAAGCACACAGTGGGTGCACAAATGCACAGGAGAGAAAGAACTGTGCGGTGACCAGAATGCCCCCAGTAATTTTCCTATTTTGTTTTCCACTATAAATCGAACAGAAGGACAGACACGAGACCTCAGCAACGTGTAGATCTCGTTCCCTGGAATGTTTTCTTTCATCTGTAATCGCTTCATCAAAATCCATAAATCAGCTAGTTAAGACTAAAAAGCACAAGCATGACTGTAATTTGTGTCTTCCTGCCCAGTGTTTCTTTTGGCACACAAAACACCAAACCTTTTCCTGAAAGGGAATTTATGGTGACACTGGGAAAGGATTCAGTGAAAGTCGACAGAAAGGTCCACAGCATTCCTGATCTCACTTCCATAATCCCTGCTTCCTCTTCATTCATCACAGAAGATTGAGAGCATAACAATGGTTTGTAGTGCTGTGGCTACTCTGGAAATCACAAATATAGAATTATTTTCCAGTGCTGGATGCTGCTAGCTCATAGTTGGCACAGGCAGGCCAGGAGACCTCATGAGAGAAAAGACTTACTTGAGATGCCAGCACTGCAGCCCCTGCCACGTGCCCTGCTAGCAGCAGAGCTGCAGAGATTAGCACTCTCTCAACCCTGTGCCACAGTGACTGCTGACACCTGTCAGCACGACTGTGCTACAGCTCCTTCAGCTGCTGTTGTCAGAGAAATCACAGGGGCTGCAAAAATCCCATCCATCAGCCCTAACCTGGAGCAGCTTGATTTTCCAGGATGGGGGGAGCTACCAAGCTGTGCTGAGCCCCTGATGGAATGGCAGGGAGGTGCTGGTGGGTACCACAGAGGGGGGCACTGCCAGAAGCAGGGGAGTCAAAAGGCTTGGCCTGGTGAGCCATACCTCTGCTGCTTTCCTTGAATTCCACAGGGCTGGAGGGGACAGGCAGACCCTGCATGGCTCTGCCCGTGTGGCTCCAGGAGAAGGCTTTCATTGTTTCGTGGGAGAGAGGGCTCCAAGGACTCTTTTCTGTCTCCTAGCAGAAGTAAATGCAATTGCTCAAAATCCTCAGATCAGGGAGAGAGGTGAGGTTCAGGAGTCCTGGCCATGTCCCATGTCCTTACATGCTGTGACACAGAAAGAGCTCGATCACGTTGCTTGTGAAATCCTAATGAAATTAGTATCTTAATCAAAGCGTGTTGCTCTGTCAACTCGTCTCAGCCCAGGAAGCAGCCGTTCCTATCTCCCTCTGCAGCCTTCCTACTGCAGCCGTGCTCACCGCGCTGGCCGCATGACACCGTTCCCTTGCACAGCTCCCTCTGACCCGTGCTGCCTGGGGCGAGCTGCTGCCGCTGGGCCTCACACGATTATTTTTATCTCCCTTTGTTTGCCAATAAAATCCCCTCCCAGTTTTACTGTTTTCCACTTGACACACGGATTTTTCTCATGTGCGTTTCCTTCTCTTCTGGCCAGGGGTGGAGGGCAGGGAGTATCCTGGATAACCTCACGTGAGAGGAATTTCCACGTGCTTTTCCACCTGAGGTGAAGCAGCCTCTAAGATGAGGCACGGTTTGGCTGCAGAGCCCCATGGCCCCAGGGCCAGCTTCCAGCACCAAGGCTGGCACCGGCAGGGTGCTCGTGCTGCTCGCTCACTGGATCACCTGTGGGATTCCCTGTGGCAGGGAGCATTGCCCGTGGGGCTGGGATATGCCATCCACACAGAACTAGAGAGGCTTGAGCAGTATGCCCAGGAGAACCTCATAAGGTTCAAGCCAAATGTCGTGCTATCAGTACAAGCTGGGGGGTGAAAGGATAGAGCACAGCCTGCCCAAAAGGACTTGGGTGCAGTGATGGATGGCAGCTGGACACGAGCCAGCGCTGTGCCCTCAGCCCAGAAGGACAACCGCATCCTGAGCTGCACGAAAAGCAATCGGGCTGGCAGGACGAGGGAGGGATCCGTTCCAAGTCAGGCTGGAGGAGCTATGAGAACCAGATTGAGCTATGGGTGTCCCTGTTCATTGCAGGGAGTTGAGCCCATCTAATTCCACGATTCCGTGACCTCTCCTGTGATAGAGAAGAGCAAGGGGCTTGCGAGTAGCTGGGGCACGAGGAGTTCATAGAGGTCTCCTGCAGTAAAGAAGGGCGCCTTTGGGCCCGAGCGTTCCTCCGGCCCGCCAGGGGGCAGCAGCGCGGCGGGGCTGGCGCGGGGCACGCCGCTGATGGCGGGATCCCTTCTCGCGATAAAAGCTGCGGCGCCGATGGGGGCGGGCGGGCGGGCAGTGTTGTCGTCACTTCCTCCTGCGCCGCGCGTTACTTCCTGGCGGGATGGCGGCGAAGCGATCGCGGGCCGCAATGGAGGAGCAGGAGAAGGCGTCGACGCGGAGCGACGACCGCGAGCAGGCGGTGAACCGCTGGGTGCTGCAGTTCTACTTCCACCAGGCCGTGGCGGCCTACCGCGCCGGGCGGAACCGCGACTTCCGGCAGCTCCGCGATGTGATGCAGGGTGCGGGGCGGGGGGCGCTGGGCGGGGCGGGGCGGCGCTGGGGGTACCGGGCCCTCCGTAACCCACCTCCGTAACCCACCTTGTCCTGCCTGCAGCGCTGCTCGTGCGGCCCTTGGAGCGGGAGCCGGCGGTGGCCCAGATGCTGCGCGTCATGCAATTCCTGTCGCGGATCGAGGAAGGCGAGAACCTAGGTGGGTCCCCGCGGGGTCGGTCACCCGAGGTCGGGCGCTGCCTCTGTGGGTTTATGCCCTCCTGGAGGGACTTTTCCCGCTGTAGGTGCCCCGCCCGTTGTTGTTATCGGTAGTTCTAGAATTTGTGATTGAACAGAACGCTTCTGTGTCTGTTTCTGAAACCGTGGGCTGTGAATTTTTGCAGATTGCACCTTTGATAAAGAGACAGAGCTCACTCCTCTTGAGTCAGCAATTGGAATCTTGCAGCTTATTGCAAAAGAATTCAGTGTGCCTGAAAAGAAGATAGAATTCATCCACAAAGTACTGAAGGAAGCTGTAAGACCTTTTCTAATAAATACACTGCTTGTGTCTTGTTCGTGTAGTTTTCTGTGAGCAGCAGTAGTTGTGTAACGTGAGAACTGTCATCATTAGCAGTGTGTTGGCTGCAAATGCATATCTTCAGTGTGTGTGTGCTTCTTTCTGCTTACCCTAGAACTGAACGCTAGGTTGCACTGAGAGCCAGGGAGTTTACCTCTGTGCCATGGTGATTATTGCTTGTGCTTTCTAGTTGGAAGTAGAGTTAATCAGTATTGACAGATAAATGGGTCTTTTTTTCTCTCATAGGCTGTTATTGTCTGCATAAAAAACAAAGAGTTCAGTAAAGCTTTGGCAGTTTTGAAGAGACATATGGAGAAGGATACTGGAAACCAGGTGAGTTGGCACCTGAACGAAAGATGGATGAGGGCTGTGACAGCTCACGGGTTTTTATGGGGTATCTGTGACTTCTACCACAGCCATAAGTTTCACTGTGAGGCAAGAACCTTGGGTAGATCTGAGAAAGAAGAAAAAGTAGAGGTGGTGAAATGAAATGAGCTCTTGAAAGATGAATCCTTAGCACTGAGCATTCTCCAGTCTGTTGGTTGTCACTCCAGAGTGACACGTTCCCTCATTCGTTTTTTGCCCCACAACAAAATCAAGCTTACATGCTAGAGTAGGAGCTGGCAAGGAGGCCCCACTCCTGTTTGTATGCAGTGTACTGCCTGGGGCACTGGAAGCAAACAGGATTGCTGAACCAGTTAGATCTCCTGTTCCAACTTTTTCCTTAACTTAAGTCAGTGTAAATTAGTTGCGCTTACACAGCATCCAGCAGGAAAGGCACTCACAGCCGCTTCCTCAGGTTATCACCTACAGGCCCAATGACTATTCAGAGCATTTTTGCCTCTTCCAGAAGAAGAGGACTGAGTTGCAGACTATCATCCGGGAGAAGAATCGTGCTCATCCAATAATCAGAGACTTCTCATACGTGAACTTCCAGCAGTATATGTTTCAGTTCCTGAAGGCCTACGTGGATACCTCAGAGCCGCTGCTGGTAACGGTGTGTGTCTGCCCTGCTCACCTGCTTCCAGCCCTCACATGCAGTAGGACGGGGCGTGAGATGGAATCCTGGGGAGAATGCTCACCTTTGCACGACACAATCCAATACAGTAATTTGGCTCATACGTGTGAAATTGTTGCAGAGTTCAAGTAATTAATAGTGGATGAAATCTGCAGTACTACAGATCTGTTTCTATAAGGTTTAAGCAGTTGGAGATGCTTTTCAGCTGTTACAGGCTTTAGTTGGTAGGCATGAGCTCTGTACGTAGCGCTCGGTAAACTGCAGGTAACAGCTAAAAATGCCCTTAGAGCATAAAGTTGAGTGGTGTTGCAGTGAATTATCATTGTAATGGTTACATGCTTTTTTTTTTCCTATTGAAGATGATGAAGAGTCTGAATTCAGAACGTGCTGAAGAGGCAAAGCGCTCATCAGTGATTCCTGAGTCTCCAAGTAGGACAGAGGACCAGGAAGAAGCTTATGAGCCCTTAAGGAGGGTAAAGCACTCAGTGGGAACTCTGAGGCGTGCAGAAACTGCAAGAGATGTGAGAGCTCCAAGCCACCCTGAAATGGCGAAGGACCCGACTGGAGCTCCAGAGCATGTAGAAACAGGGAAAGATGTGAGAGCTCCCTGCCATGCTGAAAGTACAGAGGATTCACTAGGAGCTCCACGATGTGCAGAAACTGCAGGAGATGTAGTGGGAGCTCCAAGTCCCCCTGAAATGACAGAGGACCCGCGAGGAGCTCCAAAGCGTGCAGAAACAGCCAGAGATGTGGTGAGAGCACCCAGCCCTGCAGAGAGTACAAAGGACCCAGCGGGTGCTGCAGAGCATGCGGACACAGCGAGAGATGGGAGAGCTCCCAGCCCTGCTGAAACTGCAAAGAACCCGTCAGGAGCTCCAGAGTGTGCGGACACAGTGAGAGCACCCAGCCCTGCTGAAAGGAGAAAGGACTCTGTAAAAGCTCCACAGCACCCAGAAACAGCCAGAGATGTGGTGAGAGCACCCAGCCCTGCTGAAAGGGCAGAGGACGCAGCAGGAGCTTCCGAGCCTGTGAAAAGTGCCAGTTACCCAGCGGTTCCTCAGCCTCAAATAGCAGCTGTTAAGAGCTCGAGAGCTTTTTCAGTGCCTATGGAAGTATCTGAACAACCAGCAGCTGCAGCTCCAGTGCATGCAGGAGTGTCCTCCAGGGATTTGGAAAGGTGGGCGGAGAAAGCTGGCCCTGTGTCGTAGATAAAATTGGGCTGTGCTGGGTGGCCTTGGCAGTGTCCTTAAGGAGGGTGGGCGGAAGGGTTGGGATTGACTTCTTCAGTAGCTTCTGTTTGCACCATAGAGTCATAGGGAATTGGTGAGGGGCAAGGCATGGGGAAAAGACTGATATCAGTGAGGTGGAACCACGTAGGTGAAATACTTACAAGCTGCTTAGTTTTGTCTATTTTGTAGGAGGCCCTTTAGAACTGTAACCACCTACGGGATTTCTGTTCTGAGAGAAGCTTTCAAGATGCTGACCAGCTCCCCGGATTCAGATGCACTCTTCAACAAACTGGATGAAACAGACTTACCTTCCCCCCAGCAAATGTCTCCTTCTGTATCCCACAGAACCAAGAGACGGAAAGAAGAGAAGAATCAAGGTTCTGAGACCATAGACTCTCCTGAAATACCCCATAAGAGCAAACGCTTGTTTACCATAAGCAAAATGGTCATGGACCAAAGCAGCCAGTGCAGCAAGTCAAGTGAAAGCCCAGACTCTTCCCAGGAACGAGTTGTATCTTCTGCCTATAGACCTGTTCAAGAGTTGTCTGACCAGCCTGTATCTGCTGAAAGGTTGAGTATGAAGCCTGTCTCTTGTGCTATGATCAAACCTGCAGCCAGTATTTTCACGTAGAATTACTTTACCAGTGTGAATGACAAGAAACCTTTCTTTAATTCAGTACGAGTGTATCGGCCTTCCTTCTCCACCAGCATGTGTAGTAAACTGTTGTTATAACTTGCTGTTTGGTACTAGAGGTGGCAGTGCTGCAGCAGCAGTCGCTCAGCCAGTGCCATTAATGTTGACAGGTATTTCTGACAGCCTCGTGGTGGGGGTGGCCTTTATGCTCCTTGAGAAGTAGAATCTCAAACTTTTTTTTTTTCTGAAACACATCTGGCTAAAGCTCTCAGTTGCAGCTTTCTGACTGTTTCTGGAATTTGTTACTGCTTACCTTATAGCTGAAATTACAGCTGTGAAGGAGGTAGAGGGATTTTAGATTTTTAATTTTTGTATTTCCTATTGAAAACAGCAAAGTGTGCTCACTGGAAGAAGTCTGAGATTAATACTGGTGTGAGACTCCTAAGTCTCAAGAGTATCTCCTTCTGCAAGCCATAGCAAGGGTGTGAGAGCTTCCTGCTTCAGTTGCTGTTCTTCAGTTAGCAGACAGCAGTAATACTTTGGACATCCAGGAGTGAAACTGGAAAGGTTGTTTGAGGACAACTTTGTGTTCAGGAGGAGAAATAAATCAGTTTCTCATGGTTTCCTGGCTGAAGACTGCTAAGAACCTAAGGTTTAGTTTTTGAAGGTAGACAGTACAGATCTTTGTATAGCATTTGGAGACATGTTGTCTTGCTCTGAAACACCAGGGTGGCCTCAAGCATCACGTGCTATGATGCAGTGTGCATTAGTGTGAGAGGTGGTGAAACCTCTCAAGTGCCTTGCCCAGGGCTAAGCTTAATGAGCAGAGGTGACACTGCGACTCTATTTCCATCCAGCTATATGGGATGTGACAGCCATGCATGAGCTTCAGGAAGTATTCCTAAAGTGCCTAACTTAATTTCACTTGTTTGTGCTTGAACTATGGCAGCAGGTAACAGCACTGAGGCATGTTTCCTCACAAAGGCTCTTCTGGTTTAGCTGCCCTCAGTGTCAGTAGTGGAAACTTCCAAGCGATGCCTAGAAATACTACAGGCTTCCTGCCCTGAGCTGTTGTTGAGTTAGTGCTGTATGTGGTGGCCTGCAAAGCTCAGTGCTTGTTGGTTTACTGGTGCTGTTAATGTGAGGTTGTTGGGCTTTGCAAGTGCAGATTACAAAATACAACATGCCACTTCTTGAGATAGAGCTGGTGGCTTCCAGCAGGGGCTCTGAAGGACTTCACCCCACTTTGGGGGGGATGCAGGGGGGGCTTGTTCACACATTGCTTTGTGATGGGTTTTTCTGCATTACTTGCTGTGCTCTAGCTGGCTCTGCCCTTGCCATTAGCTGAAGTAAGTGCTTGCCTGCTTTCAGGTCCTCTAGACCAAGGTGGAACAGTTCATATTGTGAAGAAAGAAAAGACAGCTGGAGTGATGAAGATGAGCTCTTTGCAGATGCAGGTATGAATTTTCTGGTCTAGCTACCTCTGTGGCTACGTGCATGGCTTGGCTGGCACTGCTAGTTAAAAGGAGGGGATGAGGGTCCAGAATGCCTAATTCCAGCCTCAGCACAGAGTACAGCCTCATTGTGGGTACATGCCCCTGTTCTTGATATACTGACTAGTGTAAAACAAAGCCAATAAGCCAGTCTTATTGGGAAGCTTTCCAGAAAGTAGACAAGAGTTTAGAAGAGAAACACTGTAGAAAAGAGAGGGATAAATTGATGTAGTTTCATTGCGTGTCGTGGGATTTTTGCACTGTGAGCAGCTGCAGAGCTCGGCAGTTAACAAGGCCGTCTCTTAGGAATGTCTGCCCTGGCACTGCTTTGATACTCAATGTAATGCCCTTGTTTTGCTTTTCAGCATTAACTGAGACGAGCAGCAACAACTCTACAGTCTATGGTTCCAAGAAACAGGTAATGAGTTATTGCAGCCTTTCTGTAAGGTTTGAAATCAGAACACGTCTGCAGAGAAAAGCAGTTATGAAATGGTTGGAAATGTTGGTGAGGACACTGGTGCAGTGCCCTGCAGCAGGCTGAGCTGCTGCCATGCACACAGGCTGGGCTGGAGAGTGGTTCTTGCTGAGACCTTGCAGCACTGAGGCATGGTTAGCTGTCTGGGTCTTTGTGTTTGCAGAGCTGGCGTGAGTTTGTCCTTCAAAAACAGATTTGGTAGCTGGTTGTGGTTCTATGCCTCCTGCATGTCAGGTGTTGGGTATTTGAGTAAAGCTGCTCTTCCCTGGTGCACAGCATACAGAAGGTTTGTGAGCACTGGAGAGGTTCAGCATTTTGTTCGGGTGAGGGACGCACGTGAGGCAGCTGATGCCTTCCAGCAGCTCCAAATAACAGTCAGCCTTACGTGTGGGTGAATGGCTGCTAGCTCTTGTGCAGCTGTACACAGGGCAGTGCTTTTGTGCTTATGATTGCTTTCTGCAGTTCTGTTTTATTTGCCTCCCATGCAAAAATTCAGCTGACTTGACCTTGCAGTTTTAACTGCCTCTGTGCAGCTGTGTGGGAGGTAAGCACTGAGCGCTCTGTATCTCTGCTTGCTGCTGCATCAATGGACAATTCCTCTTCTATGATTAGTGTTGTATTTTGGAGGCAGAACCACTGGAGTTTGTGCTGGAGCTTGGCGTTATTCTTATCTTAGTTATGAGAGCTCTTCTACAATGAAGGGATTTCTTGGGTGTTTGTGTGCTTTTGACAGAACAGTTCTGCCTTTCCTCCATGTCCCTAGCACAGACGATAAAGGAAAGCTAATTAGGAAGGAGATGCTCTGCAGCGAGCTGTGCTGTGCAGCTCCCTTGTGAAGCTGTGCTCTGAACTCACAGAATGCTGCTTACCTGCTTTTTTTAGAAATGGACAGTGCAGGAAAGCGAGTGGATCAAAGACGGCGTGAGGAAGTATGGAGAAGGGAGGTGGAAAACCATCTCTGAGAAATACCCCTTCCAGAACCGCACCTCGGTGCAGATCAAGGATCGCTACCGGACCATGAAGAAGCTGGGCATCGCCTAAAGCTGGGCCCATCCTTAGTGTCAGTGTTCTTGTTCTTTAAGGTTGACCATAGCAATACTAGCAGCAAA